AGCCAGAGTTAAACCACAACAGTCTGGAAACACGGGCTTTGTCAGGCTGAGCATGTGATCGGGCATTAATGTTTCTTCCAGTTCTTTTAAAAGATTGCACTATCTAAGGATGCATAAGCCTCCATCTTAATTCCTTCAGAGATTTTATGGAACCTAATGGCAGCAGCATTCTTACCTGTACTGAACCTTGCTTCCATCGGAGTAAGTGTCACCAAGGACCTCTGCATTTGGGACAGAAGGTGGTGGGCCACAGTTTAACAGCTCACAGCTTGGGTATGGCTTCTTCCAGACACCAGTCTCCACACATGTCAGTTCGGGACTTCCCCGCATCACAAAACCTGTCAGGCAGGTATAGATGATGGTGTTCTCATCTGCAGAGCCGCTCCCATTGATAAACGTGTTGGGGATGACGGGTGGAGAGCCACAGGAAATCTGCCCGCAGCGAGGAAACCCAGAGCTCCATTTGCCAGCTGCCTCACAGGTGACCTCAGAAGGCCCCAGCAGTTTGAAGCCCTCCAGGCAGTGAAACTGGGCACTCTTCCCACAGCTGAAATCCGTACCAAGGATGACCCCATTCTGAATCTGTGGCGTAGGACACAGACAGGGCAGGCAAGATGGAAGGCTTCCACTCCAGGAGCCATTAGCCAAGCACTGCCGTAACGGATTGCCGTGCAGCTCATAACCAGAGAAGCACATATACTGGGCAAATTCCCCGAAGGTAAAGCCTGAGCCATTCAGAAAGCCGTGGGAGATGTCTTCAGGAGGTCCACAAATGACTGGCTCGCAGTGTGGAGCTTCTGAGTCCCAGGTACCATCACTCTGACAGGTAAGCACGGATGCTCCTTGCAGGCTGTATCCCTCGTTGCAGTGATAGTGCACTTCTTTCTTAAAGCCAAAATCTGAGCCACTAGTTCTCCCATTGGGAAGTGACAGGGGCACAGGGCACGTCACAGCTTTGCAAACTGGGGCAATTCCACTCCAGCTTCCGTTTGCAAGGCAGACTCTACTTCTGTCCCCATCTAACAGGAAACCTTTGTTGCAGCTGTACTCTGTATGTCTCTGGAACGTGTACTCCTCTCCACTCACCTGACCGTTCTCCAAAACTGGTGGTGGGCTGCAGGAAACAGGAATGCAAATTGGTTCACTGCCATCCCATTTCTGGTTCTCTTGGCATTTCCTCTCTGTGGGACCATTTAGCTGGTATCCAGGATCACACTCATAGTAGATAACACTCCCGTACGTGTAGTTTTCCCCTCTGACATTCCCATTCATAAGCTGGGCAGGTAAGTTGCACGTTAGCGCTTCGCAGAATGGAGCAGTGTTACTCCACTGCCGACTTGGCAAACACAGTCGTGTGTCGGAGCCGACAAGCGTGAACCCTGGTTTACAGGCGTACTGTACTGTGCTACCGAGCGTGTTCTCGGTGAGATGTAAAAAACCGTTCTCTGGGGGAGACAGTAAGGTGCACTCTATTGAAACGCAGGTGGGGGCAGTGCCGTTCCAAGCCCCATCTTCTTGGCAAGCTAGAACAGGGTTTCCCAGCAGCTCATAGCCAGAGTAACACGTGTATAAAATTATAGTTCCAAACAAGAAAGTGGTGAGTTGCATTCCACTGTCCTCCTTCAAGGAACCTTTCAAGTCTTTTAAATTGTCAGCCAGTAACATATGAGAAAGGGAGGGACTTTCTGTAACTGCCTCCTGGTCAGAACGCCTTTCTCCGTGTCTCACCTGCACGTACTCCCCAAAGTCAATGTGAGGAGGCAGGCCACAGTCTGTCGGGAGACAGGCTGGCGTGGAGCTCGACCAGCCCGATTCTTCACAGGTCTGCATGGCAAGACCAGACAGCTGGAAGCCTGGCGCACAGCTGTATATGACCATGGCCCCATAGCTATAATCTGCACCCTCCACAAACCCATTCTCGATGGGCTGAGGGGGCTGGCAATTTATGGCTTTGCAGGAGGGAACCTCTGTACTCCACTCCCCTGTCTCTAGGCATCTCAGCGTTTCCTCCCCTTGGAGCTGGAAACCTCTGTCACAGGAATACCTAACCGTCTGCCCATAATGGAAGTTTGTGAACGAATATTTGCCGTTGAGGATCTTCTTAGGCCTTGGGCATTGAATAGGTTTACAAGCTGGCCTGCCTCCAAGCCACTGGCCATCTTCTCCACAGAGGATAGTTGTGTTGCCCACCAGTTCAAAGCCTGACTTACATGTATAGAGGGCTGTGCTAAGGAAGGTGAGGCCCTGCACATCAACAATGCCATTCTGAATTTCTTCTGGCTGGGGGCACTCCACAGGAATACATTCTGGTAAAGGCAAGCTCCACGAACCATCAGCCTGGCACCTGATGGCAGACTCACCCTTCAGTAAAAACCCATCCACACATATGTACCTCACAGTGCTACCAAAATGAAGGGATGTAGTCAAAGGGTCACCAAAGGGGATGTATGGAGGTGCAGGACACTGTACAACCTTGCAGAAGGGAAAGGAATCGTTCCACTGTTGGGAGGGCAAGCATTTTAGTACAGAGGAGCCATGCAAAACATAACCCTCCTTGCAGGAGAACTGTACCACACCAACTTGGTAAGTCACTTCCCTCAAGACCAGCTGGCTTTCTACCAAGGGTGGTTCTGGACATTTTGTTGGCACACACTTCGGGCTTTGCTTTTTGTTCCACTTCCCAGACTTCTGACATGTCCAAGAAACATCTCCAATCAGCTCATAGCCTTCATCACAGAAAAACTCAACTTTGGAGCCCATATCAAAAGTTTCTCCCCTGGAGTAGCCATGCTGGATGGGTGGTGGTTTTCCACAGCTGAGGGGAACACAGTAAGGAGGTGATTCACTGTACCACTGCCGATTGGCTTGGCAGATAAACACGGAGCTCCCAACCAGCTGGTAGCCAGACTCACACTGATAATTTGCCTGATTCTCAAAGAAGCGTCCAGTTGTTTCCTGCAAAACAGATAAGACGGGGGCATGTCTGAGATGAAGATGCATGATCGGGGCAAGAGGAGGCTGATTTAATTCCTTGTGCTCTCTCGGTCTAGCTTCTAGCTGAATCCCAGACAGAGAAAAGGCCGTTTGCAAAGGAATGAATGTAAATAACTGAAACAGTATGTCTTGCCTCAAATGATGTACTCCGCTGTCAGGAAAGCTGAGAGCACCATCAAAAGAAAACAGTAAATGGAAGGCTTAAAAGCTAAGAACTAGAAAATATTTCCTCTGCTTTCCCCCTTCCTGACCCGGGAGGCCAAAAAGATGTGCAGGCAGAAGACAAAACAAATGGGTCAGGAGAAGCTGCCATGAAACAGCCTATTGTTATGATTCTTTAGCCTGCAGGCATATTCAAGGCTGGAGCCTTCAGACATACTACTGCTAGCAGACGATCAAAATATGCAGCTGCAGGGTCTTGAGCAGGCAGCTCAGGAGCCTCTCGAAGTTGCAGACTGAGCTGACTGAGGTATTAAAAAATCTCTTGAACTGGAAGGAATATTTGGAGGAGTGATCCTACCTAAGGAAGACAACAGAGAGTGATATGCATTAATTAGAGGATGTATCTGTGTGGGAGTCTGGACAGAAATCTATTACTGTTGGAAGCCCATGTAGGAACTGGGATGCAAACCCTCTTCCTCACCCTTATTTTTAACAAATGCAGATTCCCTGGTGGCTAGATTTAAGGAAAGAGGGGGGATGTTCAGCTGAAAAATGCTTTAAAAATTCAAAGTTAAATCTTTACAATAGTGTTTTTGATTATTCCTTACCACAATATTACCCTTGCGTGCCAAAAGTACAGATTAAGTAGTTGTTTCAGGTTTGGGCTGACACAAGGAGATTTTTAACTTCAGGCATTGTTGCAATGTGATTTGGTAAGGAAAGGGAAGTTCTGAATTGAATAATGAAGTGTGTTTGCATTGAAGGGAGAGATAGTATCCCAAGTTGATTTATCTATTGCAAATCAGATTTTTTTTCACAGCAGTGAGAAGAGCAAGGCTTGTGAACAGGCAACAGTACTTCAAACATCTCCAGACGGCACTGGAAAGCCACCCATGGACCAAATAAATAAAGAGTAAGACATTATGGAGATCAATTATTTGCCACGGCATCTTGAACCTCCTGACTAAAAAGTCACTTTAAGATGGCAAATCTCATGGAAGCGTCCATGTTTTTCAGACACGATTCTGCTGCAAAACCACCCGTTTTTCCCTTTGTTTATTCCATCCAGACATGTGCTTTCTCCATATTAGCAGGAGAGCAAAACAGAAGAAAGAAAACCCCAACAGTGGCCATTGTGAAGACATACTCAGTTTGCTATGGTAGCAGGCAAATGAGAAAACTCATACTGTACCTTAATAAAGCCATTCTCAAGCTGCGGTGGTTCTCCACAGGACACTGGGTGGCATGTGGGCAAACTGCCACTCCAGTTGCCAGTGGCCTCACAGGTCCGCTTCTTCTCTCCCTTGATGTAGAACCCCTTGTTGCAGCTGTAAGCCACCACTGCTCCAAAGCTGTAGTTGGCCCCACTGGCGTAACCATTGCTAATGTTGGGAGGGTCTCCGCAGCGAATGGGGATACACTGGATGCTCAGAGGAGAAGGATTCCACTGGCCCCCTCGAAGGCACTCGATCTTGGCTGAAGTGTTCAGAACAAAACCTTCCATGCACTTGAAGCTTACGACGGAGCCAGCTGCAAATCTGGCTTTACTAATGGACTCCAGGATGCTGTATGAGACACTGGATGGCTTTTCACAGAAATCGGCTATGCAGTGGGGCATCTCCCTGCCCTCTGGAGGCACCCACTTCCCTTCCGCATTGCAAAGCAGCTGAGAGTTATCAGCCAGGCTGTAGCCATCTGAGCAGAAGTAGTAAGCTGTATCGCCAAAGAGGCGGTGGCCACTCTCTGGAGATGCATTTTCCACCTGGGGTGGTTCATCGCAGGATACTGCCAGGCACTGCTGGTTGCTCACACTCCACTCGCCGCTGGCTAAGCACTCTATGGTTGCAGGGCCAACTAACGTGTAACTGTGGATAAGAAAACCACATAGGAAGTCAAAAACATTGTCAAATGCTACCTACAGTTCCCTGAAGCCCTGGCAGTACAAGCTTCCTTGCTAGCACCCTGGAGGAACAGGATTCTTTACAAGAGCTATAATCAAGCTATAATATAGATAATCAAGAGTCACAGTTCTCTAGTAACTCCTGGGGAGAGGGCTTCGTGGTGAATTGATCTATCATTCCCCATGACTCCTCTCCATACTCCTCTTCCAGATTTTCTTCAGCTCCCATGAAACTACTTGAAGAAATCATAGAATCATAGAA